TTGTTTATTGTAGTTTTTGATGATATTATGGTGTTATAGGGAAGGAACAGAGGTTGTTGCTTCTTTGAGTGGTTTGATCCACAGATGTGTTCTCGTTCAAAGGATATAATACCTGGGTTGCTGAAGAGTAGGGGAAGACTGGAACAAGATCTAGCCAAGCTTCGAGGTAGAGAGATATTGTTGTGGCCATTTTAATATTCCTTAAAGTTCAAAGCCAAATACAATAATACAAAGCCTAATAGTCAGATTCGAACCCAAGGCCAAGAATAAATAAAGAATCTGAAGGTCCTCCAGCTTCTATCATTGTCAAATTCAGTTTACACCTTCACTGTTGAAGATTCTATTGCTTTACTCAGATTTTGAAATCACCCAAAATATCTCTCCTTGTGCGAAGATTTTACCCTAATTGAAGATATGGTCGATGTTTTATATCTATTGTGGGTCCTGCCTTTTTGGCACTTCAAAACCTACAAGTACAGAAGAACCCAGGGAAATGGCACATGGGCGTCATGTGTGCAAGTTTGACGATTTCTGTTAGGCTGGATGGAATCCAGGCAAAGTGAGACACTATATGGAGTTTCAGGGGGGAAAGTGAGGCACTTAGAGTTTCAGGGGAGAAACTGAGATTGAAATTGAGTTATAGGGGGCATTTCAATAATTTAGCCTAAAAATAAAATCTACATGACAATATTCATTAATTGACATGGCATGACCACATCAGCTGCCACATAAGGTTGTCAACAAATGTGGTCAATCTTGTGTGTCTAAATAACATTACTCTTACATTTACTTGCTCCTACTCTTCGCTACAGTTATCGATACTTTCTCACCCTATCCTTATCAGACCCAAAAAAAAAAAAAATACCCTACAATTTCCGATCGCCTGAAGAAGGAAGGTCGTCTAAGTCTTTCATGCTTCCCTAATCTTCACCCTCTAAAAACCCTAAAATTTACATATTTCACCCACATGTTAACCTACTCCAAGGTCCAAATCTAAACTCTCAGTCATTCAATCAACCCTCTGCCCTTGACTTCTTCTTTTCTGTTTTCTTCCCTTTGTACCTGATAAACACACTTCGGTCTGTCTGCGCATCAGAACTTCTTGTAGCCGCACCACCATTGCTCCAACTCTCTCTGTCGGTAATTTTTTTTCCTTTATGTCTCTAATTTTGATTTTTCATCTTCTTGCCATTGGATTTTGGGTCAAATCCAATTTTTTTATTTTAAAATCTTATATGTTGTATGCAAAAAATATTTCGAATTGGATCTACTCTTTTACTGTTTCCGTCATCTTAAGTGGTTGTTTATTTATTTAATTTTTTTTGTTTTGAATTTTTTTTTTGAATTAGATATGCACTAATCTGCTTTCCTTACCATTACTAGCATATTCTAATTTTCTTGAATTGTTTCCTTAGTGAAAGAATGTAGAAAGCTGTATATTGTATTGATACCTTGAGATCGTAATGTACAAGATTTATACAGAATGAAAGTTCTATTCTAAGTAAACATGAAATCTATTCTAAGTATGTGAATCACAATAGCTGTAATTACCGTGATCTTAGCTAATTACTAAGATTGAGGTAATCATCACAGTTGACCAATTTCTTTCCTTTAACACTCCCCCTCAAGTTGGAGTGTGAATGTCAATTACACCCAACTTGCCAAGGTAGGGGGCAGGTAGCGGCTTAGTGAAAATGTCTGCAACTTGATGTTTGGTTTGCACATGAACTGTCTTGATTTCCCCATTTTGAATTCTCTCACGAACGGTATGGCAATCCAATTCAATGTGCTTGGTCCGTTCATGATACACTGGGTTGGCTGCAATGTAGAGTGCTGCTTTGTTGTCACAGAGTAAGGTGGCTGGTTGGTTGTGTTCCACTTGTAAGTCTCGTAAGAGATATCGCAACCAAGTGAGTTCACAAGTGGTGGCTGCCATAGAGCGGTACTCAGCTTCTGCAGATGACCTTGAGACAGTGACTTGCTTCTTGCTTTGCCATGATATGAGTGACTTGCCAAGGAAGATACAGTATCCAGTAACTGAGCGCCTTGTAAAAGGACATCGTGCCCAATCTGCATCACAGTAAGCTGTCAAGTGGAGGTACCCGTGTGAAGGGAATAATGACCCTTGGCCAGGAGCTCCTTTGAGGTAGTGAAGGAGCCGACGTGCAGTCTCAAAATGATGCATTCGGGGTTCATGCATAAACTGACTTAGTGCATTCACCGCATATGTGATTTCTGGTCTTGTTATTGTAAGATATATTAGCCTGCCAACAAGTCTGCGATAGCGAGTAGGATCCTTGAGAGGGTTACTCCCTGTAGGCATGAGTGCAACATTGGCTTCCATAGGAATTTTTGTAGGCTTAGCACCAAGTAAACCTGCATCTTCCAAAATATCTAGTGTATACTTCCGTTGACAAAAAGAAATCCCAGACTTGGACCGTGCAATTTCAACTCCAAGAAAATACTTTAAAGGTCCAAGGTCTTTGATTTTGAAACAAGTGCCAAGGAAGTGTTTAAGGTCTCGTATGGCATCATCATCATTTCCAGTGATTATCATATCATCAACATATAATAGTATAACAGTGAAGGATGTACCATGTTTTTGTGTAAACATAGAATAATCTGCTCTAGATTGAGAAAAGCCAATGTTTTGTATAGCAGAGGAAAACTTACGAAACCAGCTCCGAGACGCCTGTTTAAGACCATATAAGGATTTGTGAAGACGACACACAGTGTGCTCCCCCTGTCATTGATAACCGGGCGGTGGAAGCACATGTAGACTTCTTCATGGAGGTCGCCATGAAGAAATGCGTTGTGCACGTCCATCTGATGAAGTGGCCAATTGTGGACATATGCAACAGTGAGGAGACAACGGACAGTGATAAGTTTAGCAACATGAGCGAAGGTCTCAGTGTAATCGATGCCTTCACGCTGGTTGAACCCTTTGGCGACCAAGCGAGCTTTGTATCGCTCGAGGGTACCATCAGAATTGTACTTGATTTTGAAAACCCACTTGCAACCAATCGGACGATGACCAGCCGGTAACGGAACGAATGACCAAGTATGGTTCTCTTCCAGAGCTGCAATTTCAGAGTTCATAGCCTCAACCCAGTGGGGGTTGTGGCGTGCCTCCTCATAAGTGTTAGGTTCAACCAATTGGGAGATATTGTTGACAAAAGAACGGTGAGGCTCAGAAAAATTGGAATGAGTGACATACTGAGTGATGGGGTAGCGAGTACCTGACGTGATGGGGGAAGGAACTCCTGGAGCAAGCAGGGCAGCATGGTGGGCTTGGTAGTCTTTGAAGTGAGGAGGGGGTTTGGTAGATCGGGTTGATTGTCACAGAGGTGGGGCGGGGGGAATAGGATGGGCGTCGATGGGAGAAGGGGAAAGAGGTTGTGGGGTGGGCGACGCCGTGGCATCAAAGGATGGAGAAGGTGCTTGGGTGGGCGTCGGTGATGATGGAGATGAAATAGAGGGAACAGGGGGCGATGCTGGTGTATTAGACGGAGAGGGTGAATGAGAGAGGGCTGGGTCTTGGGGGGTATGGGCCGGATGTGGAAGAGAGGGAGTATGGGAAGAATGGGTTGGGCTTTCTTGGGTCTGGGAGAAGGGGTCATGGGCTGGAGTGGGTAGGACGTTAGTGTCACCCTGATGTTCGGGTGGTGAGGTAGAGAAAGGGAATATGTTTTCATGAAAAACCACGTCCCGAGAGGAAATTTTTTTTTGGGTGCTGAGATCATAAAGGCGATAACCCTTTTGATGAAGGGGATAGCCAAAGAAAACACAGCGACGGGCCTGTGCATCAAACTTGTGTTTGGGAAGGAGATTGGTAGCATAACACAAACAACCAAAAACTCGTAAAAGGGAATAATCGGGAGTTTTGTTGTGTAAAAGTTCATATGGAGATTGGTGTTTGAGTAATGGTGTTGGAAGGCGATTTATGAGATAACAGGCAGTGTGTAAGCTTTCTCCCCAAAAACGTAAGGGAATGTTGGCCTGAAACCGGAGTGCCCGAGCCACATTTAAAAGATGGCGATGTTTTCGTTCAACTATGCCATTTTGTTGGGGTGTATATGGGCATGAATGTTGGAAAGAGGTACCGGTGTCTTGAAAAAAGTTTGGAGGGAAAGAAATTCACTTCCATTATCGGCACGCAAGGTTTTGACATGAAGGTTGAATTGGGTTTTGACCCAAGAGAAAAAAGATTTTATCACCCCTTGTGTGTCTGATTTAAAATTTAAGAGATGGATCCATGTAAAACGGGTAAAATCATCCACAATAGTTAGAAAATATCATGCACCAGTATGAGTGTGAATTTTGTGTGGCCCCCAAATGTCACAATGAATTAAATCAAAAGGTGCATGAGATGACATTGAAGTAGATGGAGAAAAAGATAAGCGAGTTAGTTTTGCTAAAGGACAAATGTCACAAACATGATTGTTATCACAGATAATTTTTGAAAATTTATTGGAAAGAAATTGAGTAGGGGCGTTGGATGGGTGTCCCAAACGTTGATGCCAAAGATGGGAGGTGTGGTGAACATGATGAGCTAGATGTGGGTTTTGTGTGGCTTTGAGGTAGTAGAGCCCATTAAATTGCTTGCCCAGGCCAATCGTCCTCCCCGTATTCACGTCCTGCACAACACAAAATTTATCAAAGAAAGTCACCATACACTGCAATCCTCGTGTCAATTTGCTCACAGACAACAAGTTCACATTGAATTGTGGTACATGAAGAACACCATCTAGAGTTAAGGTGTCAGATACTTTAATGGATCCAATATTTTTAATGGCTGCTTTCCCTCCATTAGGTAAACCAACAAAATCATGTTGAGTATTGACTGTGTTGTGTGTAGGTGCAAAACAAGAAATATGATCTGATGCTTCACTGTCCATGATCCAATAGAAATTTGAATGAGGGTCATGCTGTGAAAGATTGCAGGTTGATGTAACAATACCTGTTGCATTTGCAAGATGAGAATTACCAGGTCGATTGTGTAAAAGAGCAATCAGTTGATTGTATTCTTCGGTAGTGAAAGTGGGGCTGTCATTGGGTTTGACGTGGGGCCCTGGGGTTGGATCCTTTTCAGCAGTGTAGGCAGCCCGTCTGTTTTTGGGCTTGACATTCTTCCCATGGAGTTTGTGGCCCACAGGAAATCCATTAAGGAAAAAGCAGTTGTCAATTGTGTGGGTGTCTCCATCACAATAAGAACATTTCAGAGACTTCCTGAAGTTGGAGCTGTGTTTTCCATCCCCAGCACCAGAGGATTTCGCCGCTGCTGCTGAGTTGCCTGGGTTGGTGCCGCCCTTGGTGTTCGCAGAACGTATGATTTGCATGGCATGGGATCCGATCTTTCGATTTGCCACGTCCAACTGCCTTTCGTGTTGGAGGATCAAGCCATGGACACGACGTGTGTCTGGGATCGGCGACATCATCAGAATTGACCCACGCACAGTTGAATAAGGTTCGTTCAGACCCATTAAAAATTGCATGACTCTCTCCTTCTCTTCTCTGGAAGCCCGTGTTGTGGAACCTTCGCAAGTGCAGATGATGGGTTCATGATATGAATCCAATTCATCCCATAAGGCCTTGAGTTTGGTGTAATACTCTGAAATCGAAAGATGGCCTTGTCGATGTTCGGCAATTTCTTGACGGATTTGGTAAATCCGGGAATCGTTGCTTTGTGAGAACCGATCTTTAAGATCATTCCACACCATGGATGCGCTGGTGCAGTAAAGCACACTGCTTGCGATGTCGGGATGCAGTGAGTGCAAAATCCAGGATAGCACCATATCGTTGCATCTCTGCCAAATGGGGAATTTGGCATCAGTTTTTGCTGGGGTTTTGATAGTCCCGTCAATGAATCCTAGTTTGTTTTTAGCGCTCAAGGCAATTCGCATCGAGCGACTCCATTGACCATAGTCATGGCCTTCGAGAGGTTT